AGCTAAAGGTCATCCAAACACTTTTTTAAGCTACATGAATGCCAGAGGAAATTGAATGACATGAAATAAATAAGACATGAGATATCACTTTGGCCAGCTATAATCTGATAAGACAACAAAGAGAAGTTCATTATCTACATCAAAAATAATACAGAACCAGCTTGAATCAAAGTGTCACAGTTTACAGGGGTTTTAGTATGCATGATTTTTAACAAAGCACACAAGAAAGTATAGTGCAAGCTGTGAACTGTTTAGGCCCGACACAAAGAAGAAAGTACATCTACATAAACAGCAGGATCATTTTTGCTATGCAGTTAGCAAAAAAAAAAAACCCCAAAAAACCAAAACAATTTCATGTGAACGCAAAGCAGCCAACGTGTTAACTAATTAAGTTTAAGTCCATAGTACAGAATAGAGTGTTTATTGTAAACGGATTGCCCTTGAATGACAGTGAAATAGCAGCAGCAATGACCTTAGATTCAGGTGAAACTTCCACTATGTTCAGTAATACCCAGACATTTACAAGAAAAATTCTATATAACACAAACATGTTGAACACAGTAGAAGCTGCAATTATTTTACACATTTGATTGAAATTAAATGTTAACCAGCAAAAAAATAAAACAAAAACATTTTACACTGTACAATTTTGATTTAAATATATACCGTGGGCCTATTATGCAACTTCCAGTACCTTTGCATAAACCCGAGTCTAAAATTATCCTACTTGTCTTATGCTGGGCCTGTCTTGTCTTGTCTGGAAACAAGTTGTTTTAGCCTCTCTCTTTAAGCCAGCTGCCCTCTGATTGACTTGACTAGCAGCAGGTGGGTGGAGCTTCTGTACATGAGATGCCATATTAGGGTTATCAGCCCTATCTGACATCATATAGATCTAAGAGTAGAAAAACTGCCAGAAAGTAAATGTAAATAGCAGTCTGAAGCTTGAGCTTGTCATTATTTGAAACTATACAAGCTAACAAGGGAAACATAAAACATCCCTTTGAATGCTTAAGCTGTCAGATTGAGAGCTTCATAACATAACAGCATCTTAAACTGCTACAGAAAATCCAATTGTTACTTGAATTCCCACAAGTTCAAAACCACAAACTCGAGTGCTCTTTTAAAAGCCGGCTTTAATTGATTAGAGGCCACTGTGACCATTTGGAAATTCAGCCGGGTCCTTGAGAAGCGAGTGTGAATGTGAGCGGCAAGGGTTACAGATGATGCTGTCATGTAGAAGTGATGAGCAGTGGTAATAAAAGAGGCAGCAGAGATGAAAAGAGTTGAGGACAGAAGATTAGGATCAAAACATGTGAAGTGGTTTGTTTTTTTGCTTTTTTATAAAGGGCTGATCAGAAACGGGAGAAAGCAGAAGATGAAGTGGCAAAGTGTGGGAGAAAGTATGAAGCAAGAACTTTAAGTTCAGGTTTTTATCACATAGTGTAGTTTCAAAGCATATATATGGCATTTAAAATATATAAAAGCAGCTCATTGTAACCTTTAAATTTGTCCACTGCATTGCTTATGGATACAGGGTGTAACAAGATTATTATTTTACTAGGATACAGTAAAAATGGACGTGTGGCTTCTGGCAAAAACATTGACAAACACACTATACTCAGTGTTTAGTAAACTGAAAAGCTTTTAACGCTGACACTAAAGTACAAAAAACAGTCAGATCAAGGTTTTTATGATAGTGGTACTGATCCGATACTAAATGCAAATATGCCAATTTAGAACAGCTTATTTGTGCTGTCACATAATGATGCTATGTGCTGTAATAAAAGCACACTGAGGCTTTTGCCTGTCTGTGTGTCTGTCTGTGTGTTTTACGCTCTCTCCAGTTGTATGCACTGCCCTTTGCAGCTGAATCCACTCGGCAATTAAGCCTGGGAGTATTTAAGCGGAGGCAGGGGGAGAGGAGAACCTCAGTCATTTAGTGTATTTCTGTATGCAGTGTATGAGCTCATGGAGATTTGTGTGTGCAGTTTGCCAGCTATTTGATTAATTTCCCTTTTAGTTACAGGCTACTAAATTTTGTCGCATTATTTTTACTTTTGTGGTGATAGCAGCTTGGCCGTGGTTCTGACTTTACTTAATTTAAAAAAAAATGTTGTTTTGTTCCTGAATCACCCAGAGACTTCTTCTGTCACTTCCCCAGATGCCACAGACTTCCTGGGGAATATAACATGCACACTTTTGCAGAGTTTCTCTTAAGCAATAATCATGATGTGGCTGGCTGCACATTGATTGCCAAAAAATCTGTAGTGCATAGTTTTAAAAGACCAGCTTAATATGCAAGCGTGCAATCAGTTAAGTGCTTTGATTTGATTGAATTAATGTGGTTCTTTAGTCACAGAGAATTTCTTCTACCTCTATTTGCATAGAGTGGACTGCCTGGACTATATTATCCTCAGCAAAAAAAGAATTAAAAATCCATGATGCCAAAGTACAAGACACGCGAGAAGACCTGCAAGTGCAAAACATCTCCTGTCTACTAGTATCGCCATCTGTTTCCTGCATGACTAACCAGGACACGCAGGTCAAATGTTTTGTGGCTGGATGTACCTGCAGAGATGACAGCGAGGCATGCAAACAGACAAGAAGCTGCTGTCCTCCCCTCGTGGAGGTGAGCCAAACACGGCTCTCGCTGTCTGACAGATAAACAATGAGAGCCACCAGAGAGGGCCGCTGCTTGTGCCGAAGCTACGAGAGCTGATTCAACACTTTGCAGCAAAGACGGATCTTTATTTACCACTGGCCGTGACACGTTTACAAAAAGCTCAGAGATTCATTTCAGTCACTTCCCCGTAAGATATAGACGTAGCATTTAATCATAGCGTTGTTCACCTTGTTGAGGAAATACAGTGAAAGCTGCAGTTCTTGTTGTTTTGGCATTGCACTAATGTCAGGTAAACACTGAGGATGCTTTTGTGGGCTCCATGTGTGAAGGTCTTCTCCACTTGGGTTTGGCAACTTGCCACGTGCAGCTTTAGCAAAGTAGAGGACAAATGTGAGCCTGGCTCTCAGCGTTGTTTTAAGAGATAAATGACTAGAACTTTTTTAAATTTTTGCTGTAGAAATCCATGTTTGTTTTTTCACCTGTTTTTGTATGAAACCATGTTCTTGAAGTTTTGAGAGAAAGTAAAACAGTCAATGTTATTCAGAAAACAGGCCTTAAATATGAATATAAATATAAAACAACATCTAAAAATTTTCTTTATAGGATTTCATCAGTTTGTGGTTCCCAGTTCGCTTCAACAACCCTGAAGCCAGTCTGTGATCTACAGCAAAAACCAATCAATCTGACCACCACGCTGACTGCTCCTTTAATAGACTGCATGTTTACTTTCATAAAGTTTTATCTCTTTTCCCACAGAGAGGATAAAAATAGAAATACTACAGGGAAAAAAATAGTTCCAAGTTTGCTACAGGTTTTTCCATTGGCACTGGCACAGCACACTATGCTACTAACGGTTGCAACAGTGGCGTATATTTATTGCTATTTACATGAGGACAAATCAAGGGGGAAAAGTGGCTTAAATAAATACACTAAAATGTAAGACTTGTCTTAAAATCTGTGCTCTAGTGTGCTGTATCAAAACTGGATTCTTAAAGTGATACTTTTACTAAAGTCAACATTTTAGTTATTACAATGATTGTGGCCGACGGCTTAACAGAGAAGATAAATGTTGTTTATCGAGCAAAAATGCCAAACGTTCACAGCTTTCAGATCCTAAAGTGAGAAATAATAGGAAAATAATCATTCGTTACATCTCTGCAAAGGACATGCATCATAGAAAAAGTGGGTTGAAACATGACAAGCCACTCAAAACCCATTCCTGGAGCTTTGTGTGCTCAACTTTCACTCATTTTTGCTCAATATTTTACACAAACAATTAATTTTGTGAAAATATGGATTAATACTCTACCTCCTTTCAAGCCAGTTTAAAAATATACAAGGCTTGCTGCTCATCTCAATCAATATAAATCTAAATTTATACCTGATTTAATTAGGCTAATCTCCCCTTCAAGGTCATCTTGTTGTGCACATCTGGATCAATTCCAGGGTAGCTATTTTTAGCACGCTCCTCCAAAAGTCCCGTTATGAACGCTTGCACTTTTGTATCTAGAATTTCACAGAGCAGCAAACATCAGCTGCTGTGTGATCCAGCTGATTACTGTTGATGCAAACTTGGTCTTTGGTTACATCCAGAATCCAAAGAGTAGTTTCCGCTGGAAGAGTCCACAGTGTCCAAGCACAAAGGTGGTGCTGCCAGGAGACATTTGTGGGGTTTGTTTAGTCATTTCTCAGGGAGAGTTTTCCAACACTGATATTTACTTTAACCTCCTGAAGCATGTGAGAGATGACATCTGGTATGAACCATCTAAACAGTCTATAGAAAATCGTCTTTTTTTAGCCACAGCAACAAAATCCGTGCTGAACACCTGCCACGCATGCCAGATTTGATTGCCTCTGACATTATCCTCTTCTCCTAAAAAAATCCAAGATGATCGGTTCCAGTTTCGACACCACACATCACACAACCAGAGCTGCAAGAGGGAATAATGGGACTTCCAAGCAGCAACCTAAAAGTAACAGCCACATTCAAAGTGCCGTAATGCTTCCCAAAGCGATATTCTTGAAGGAGAGATTGGTCAAATTTAAATCTCTTGTAGCTTTTTATTTTGCTGGGCATACACAGAACTTTACCTTCACACCACATAAGTCTTTTATTTGTCTTTAGTTTGGTAGGTTAGTGCATTTATAAAAAATAAAAAAAAAACAAAAGGGGCAAGAAAGCCCCCCTAACTAAACCCGGAAGAACCTGGTCAACCCAAAAACAAGGAATGGTTCAATTGCCCGTTTGGAAACCTCCCCAACAAAAAGGTTTTAAGAACTCCCAAAAAAAGCCACTTGAAAAAGCTTCTTTTACCTCATAGAAAGGCTCACTGTGCAGTTTGTGATGATACCAGTCCACAAACACAGTCACAAGCAACAAAGAGGTGCATCTTCATACACAGGACTGGGTGGTAAAGCTATAAGCACATTAGGTGCTAATGTTCTTAGGCCATGTTTTTAATTTATACAAAATAGCCTAATGCTTAGCATGTTTTGGATGAACTATCACTTTAAGCTCCACAGATATCTAATATTACATGGTTATAAAACTTCTTGAATCTCTCCACAGTCTCGGAAATACTTGATCACCTCCTGGCCTAATTTAGTTTTTGTATCCATGTCCTATTTTGTAACATTGCCTTTTTTGTCGTCTGACTGCCATCTTTCAGAAACTTCCAGAGAGTCTGCACTTTAGGTATCATCTTTAAGCTCCTTGGTCGAAGTAATTTTTCACAGCTCCACATTTTAGCAGTCTCTGATTAGTGAAATCCTGGGCCATTTGTCACCGAAGACACAACAGGCTGAATATTTCTGACCAAGTTATGACATGACCTGCAGGTACTCTGTGCAATTAAGAGCAGCACTTCATAAAATAGTCAGTTTCCCCCACAAGTACGGCTCACCGCTAGGGTAAAAATAAATAACAGTGGGATGAAGCATAAGAGGGGTGTCCTAGATGGAACTCTCATCGGGTTGCAAGTCCAGTTGTGTGTGTTTCCTTTTCTCCAGGATCCTGTTGAGCTCCTCTGTGAAGGAATGGTAGAGCGGGGACATACAGTCAGGGTCGGCCTGCCTCAGCAGCACGTAGCTGTTTCCGTTCATCTTCCTCAGCACGCTGGGCAGAGTGGCCGAGAGCCCGTTGGCATAGTCCATGTTGGGAAGCGGGGGTGGCATGGGAAGAGGAGGAGCCGGAGGAGGTGTTTTAGCTGGAGACATCTGGCCTTCACCTGGCACTATCTGGAGGAAGCCATCACCCAGGTCCCCAAAGCTCGGCACTGAGATGGACCGACGGCCCTGACGGCCATTGCAGTGGCTTGAGATGGTTTTAAGTTCAAGGTGGGAGCTCCTTTTTCTCTCAGAGGCACCTAGGACCTGGAGACCTTGCTGGGAGAACTTCCGATCCTGAGAGGCTCGTCTAGTGCAGAAGCTTACATAAAGAAGGACCACAGTCAACACCAAGCAAAGCCCACCGAGAACCGCCACCAGAGAGATGTACACGGCCTCCATGTGTCTGTAGGTCTGAAACTCAGGTCTTGAAGGAAGTGGGGCAGGAGGCGAGGGCAAGGGCTGCTCAGTGGGGCTGCCGGTAGAGAAAGCGGTCGGGCTGAAAATTGTAGTGGGGTTAGTTGTGGCTGTGGGTTCCACAGGGAAGTACGGCTCTGTGTGAACCCTTACTGTGTAGAGATAGACCAGAACTGAGACTGAGTTCTCGAGAGCAAAGCAGCGGTAAATGCCGCTCTGCTGGGTGCGAGCTCCGATTATGAGGAGGCCATCTGTGCCGATCCGATAGCCCGAATTGAGGTCGTATCCCTGGAGCTCCCTGCCGTTTAGCGTCCAGCGTGGAGTTGCCAGGTTGGAGCGTAGTTCACACTGGAGTAGCACGTCGTCACCCGACATCACAGAGCGCCTCCGATGGACCACTGAGGATAAAAACAAGAGGACAAGAGACATGAGATGGAGTTAAAAAGAAGAGTGAAGTGAGGAAGACAGAAGAAGACTAGTGGATGAGGAACGTGAGAGACAGTGTGACACAAATGCAGGAAGACAGAGCAATGAATATACAAGATGTCGGGTCACCAAGGTTACAATTTAAAAGTGAAGGCGAGCAACGTGTACAGCACCAGCATCCCTTTCCATCACATTTCATAAGCTGCTTTAAATGTAGCGAGCTCTGCAGTGCAGTCAGCAGGCCTGTCTGACCTCCAGCAAGAGAGGAACTGATTAAAATGTGTAAGCTGGGACCTGGGGGATGGGTAGGGAACATACACCTAATAAAATCTCTTAATAGATACTAAAAGCTTTAGTTTTCTGGCAGAGAAGGAAGATGGAAGGACGATTTTTTAACCCCATCACCTGTGAGAAAGTCAGAAAAACGTATCAAGTGGGAAGGATGGTAAAGTAAAATGAAGAACTAACCTTTTTTAAAAATGAACAAAGACGCTGTGGTATAATGGATTTACAGTGTAGAAGTGAAGTGCATGTGAATGTGTGAAGCAACACGTACCATTTCCTGAATTCTCCTTGCAGCCCCTGACCCCTCTCAAGATATCCTGGGTTAGGTTCGACCTGCAATAGTAATTAGGAAAAATTTGCATTTAACCTTCATTAAAGTAGGAGATAAGCGTTAGAGTAAAAAGCGAGTGTCTTCTGAGAGTGTCCCAGCTAAGATAAGCATAAATAACAGCAAGGTATAAAAATGCAGCAAAACTGTGATGAACAGAAACGTGATTGCCATATCATAAAGAAGATTTCTCCAATCAAGACTTTGACACAAAACTACCTGAAAGCTGCAAATATTGAGCCATTTCTGCAGCAAAGCCTTAATATCATAAAAAGAAATAAACTTGAGATAGCTTGGGTTCCCAGCAATAAGAGGAGGATACCTAAATGCTTTTTTTTACGCAGCCCACTGTGGATTAGTACTAGGGATAAATTCCCCATCTCCTCCTTTATAGAAGGATTACTATAACAAAAATGTTTTTCAAAGAAATAATATGGATATTGTAACTTAATAAGCTTTAAGAAGGAAGCATTACCATCCAAATCTTTTTGCTGCTTTCTTTGGATGTGATGCAGCAGCCAAAGTATATAAAACAAATCCACGGGGAGGGCCGAAGTGTCTGCTGCAGTAATGGAGATTAAGATGTCTGCTACTCACTCATGCAGAGTTAATGAAGAGAGGCACAAACAGTCCCCAGTGCAAAGAGTGAACACAAGCATGCCTGTTTACTGTCATGTACCACGTGCAGTATTTTTTCCACTGGAATTACTTTACAAAATCCAGGAAAGCTCCTAGTAAACAAAGGAGGAATCTAACTTAGCAATTTTTGCATAGACCTGCATATCCTGAAGCCTATTACACCTGATGCTGGGCAACAGATAGGATACACCTGGATGGTTTGACAGTCCTGTAAAACTGATTAGTGATATCATACAGTATTAGCTCCACCTCCAGTAACGTGGCAGCAATGCAGCACATTTAAGCCTGTGGACACGGTCAAGTTGACCTGCTAAAGTTCAAACTGGGCATCGGAATGGGGAAGAAAGCTCATTTAAGGCACATTGAATGTTGCATGGTTGTTGGTGCCAGGTTGGATTGTCTGAGTACTTCAAAAACTGGTGATCTACAGGGATTTTCCCACACAAACATCCCTAGAGTTTACAGAGAATGAGCCAAAAAAGAGAAAATATTTTCTGGGAGAAAATTCCTTGTTCAAGTCAGAGGTCAAAAGAGAATAACCAGACTTCTTTGAGCTGACAGGATAACAAGAGTAACTCAAAAAATCACTCATTGCGATTAAGGAATGTGGAAGAGTATCTAATGCACAACTCGTTAAACCTTAAAGTAGTCGGGCTACAGCAACAGAAGACCACGCCAGGTGCTACTCCTGATAGCTAAGAATAGAAAACGACTAGAACTCATAGGATCAGAGTTTGGCGTAAAGAACATGAAGGCACACATCCATTCTGCCTTATATCAACAGCTCAGGCTGCTGGTGGTGTAATGTGGGGGATATTTTATTGGCATATATCCCACGGAGAGTTAAGGCAGCTCTGAATGCAAACGGGGTCCAAGTGGTACTAACAAGGTGTTCCTCATAAAGGTTTGGTGAGTGTACATTAGCATTTATTTAATATTGACAAAATACTCTCAAAGTTTTAATTATTGTGTTGTACCAGTTGTACCAGTTTCTCTCATGTAAATATTTCAAATGGGGATATATAAAGTAAAATGTTACTGAAAGAGGAAAGACACAATTTCACTCACTTCCACCCTGTTTGTTTTCCCGTTCTACATGCAGAGCTACATGAGGCATAAAGATTGAAATCATATCCAAATGGGTGGTTTTTTTGTGTGTGTGCATACTTGAAATTCAAAACTTCCCATTATGTGCGAAGCTCCTGCTGAGCTGAACGGAGCTGATGAGAAAAATCCAGGTCAACTACATTGTCTTAGACCTGCTTTCATAGAAAATTTGTTGGAGGGATACAGAAGCCGTATAAATAATTAACTGTGCTCTGGTATTGTTTGGCCCAGAAGGAAGAAATAAACATAAGCTAAAAAAGGTCATGTAATGCAAAAATGTACAGCACAAAAAGTTAATCATCTTAATCACCTCTCACTAATCTCCTGTAATTTTTCCACAGGGCTTGATGGTAATGTTATGTTAAATCAACATGCCATCAGTTACGAGCAGTTCACCACATTATTTAACAGTTACATTAGAAAAAAATATCTAAACAAAAAGTACATTTTATGCTCAATTTTTCAGCTCATGTAAAAAAATAGATATAGAGTTAACAGAATAAGACAAAATAAGGAGGAAAAATCGGAGACTACAGCGCAGGTGGAACTGTGGAGAAGGTTTAGGGAAGTATAGATTCAGGATCTATGGAAGAGCAAAGCAAATGTATCTTGTTTGTTTTCTGCCAGATCTCTGTAACCCCATTTTTTTTTTTTGCATGCATTGTGTAATTATGCATGTGTGTGACACTAAAATACATTGAGTCTGTGTCCTTACTGGAAACATTCTTTTTTTTTGAGTGCATGTGCCCTTACTTTTGTGCACGTGAAGATATTTCCACACACACTTTCCCATCCCAGCCGCAGAAGGGGTCTCTGGCGAACACACAGTCATAACAGGAAGTGTACCTCTTGCAGGCTGACATCGGTACCTGCACGACTCCAGAGTGCGACCCAACATAGACACTCCTCTGTAAAACAGGAGCATATTTGGAAGACTTTTTCCTCATGTTAAATATTGTAATGCCCTTCAGTATAGACGGTGTATTTGTTCTTTAATCATCAGTTATTAATCGGTGGAGAAGGGAAGAGTTCCACAACCTTTTTGGGGTATGACAGGGATTTAGACGCAATGGTTGCCCATTTTCATTTACATATAAATCCTTATTCTGTTAACGTAAAGTTTTAGTGCAGATATATTTAAACCTACCAGAGCTGAGGAGATGACCAGGCTCTCTATGGGCTGTGGTTCATCAAACAGCTGCAGCTCTTCTATGATATGGATTTCTCCATCGATGTCCACAGCTCTATGCAGCCAGCCGTCATCTGCAGGAACAGAGAAAACCTTGTTGAGTTAAACTGAGATGTGAATATAACAAAATGCTGGCTGTATGAACAAGACTGATGTAGCCACTCAGTCTGAAACTCAAGCTCGTGAAAATTCTTTCTAAAGACTAGCAGGGGCAAAATCCACTGATTATAAAAAGATTTGAAATTGAAGAAGTAACAATGACCCTAGTTTTCACTTGATTTAATACCTCGGTAAACGCTATGCTGATTGCATTATAGTCTCCATTTCTAGTTCCAACACTATTTCACCATGAGTTCCTCTCCTTTTACACAGAGAGCAGCCAATGATGCAGAGGTATTCCTTGTAGCATGAGATGGTGCATTGTCTTGCATGAAGATGGTTGTGTTGCAGAAGGCACAGTTCTTCTCTTTCTACCATGGAACAAAGCGGTCAGTCAGAAACTCCACGTACTGGCTCAAAACATGACTCCACCACCTCCTTGCTGACGATGCAGCCTTGTTGGGACATGGTGGCCGTCCACCAACCATCCACCACTGCATCCATCAGTGAACAAGACTGTTTGAAAATTAGTTTTCATGAGTTCTGGGCCCACCACATCCGTTTCTGCTTGTGAGCATTGGTTAGGGGTGGCCGAATAGAAGGTTTATGCACAACTGCAAATCTCTGGAGGATCCTACACTTTGATGTTCGCCAGGCTCCAGAGGCACCAGCAGCTTCAAATATGTGTTTGCTGCTTTGTAATGGCCTTTTAGCAGCTGTTCTCTTAATCTGATGTATTTGTCTGGCAGAAACCTTCATAATAATAATAATAATAATGGATTGCATTTATATAGCGCTTTTCGGGACCCCTCAAAGCGCTTTACAATACCACTATTCATTCACTCTCACATTCATACACTGGTGAAGGCAGGCTACAGTTGTAGCCACGGCTGCCATGGGGCCTTTATCTGCACGAAACCATGTGTGCGCTGACTCAGCCGCAAATCTCTTAACATTATGGTGATCTCGCTTAAATTTTCGTGAAATATCTAAGGTTTTCATTACGTGTCCAAGGCATCGAACTATTTCACACTTTTCAGCAGCAGAGAGATCATTTTTTCTTCCTATATTGCTTGAAAATGGTGGTCTGAACATCCTTCTTTAGTTGTTTTTCCTTTAACTGGGCTCACCTGGCAAACTAATGATCATAGGTGTCTGAGATTGTTTTCAGTGATACAAAGAGTCCTGAGACACAATTCCATCCATGGGTTTAATTGAAAAACAACTTATTTAATCTTTATGACACAATTTGCATAATAATTTGGAATGCGGTGTATTGTTATTTCATGGCACTGCTAAATGCAGATATGGAATTTATTTGGTCATTTCATTGGATTTCTTGTATGAAACTCACCAGTTCCCAAAAACAGAACAGTGTAAATATTTCCATCCAGTGCCGGCTCTTTGTGCACTGCTATCTTGACATAGTTGACGCTTCTTTTGAACATGAGGGGGCGCACACCTATTGGGTGCACCTGTTTGGCCATCAGTGGGTGCCTTCTGGCAAAGGTGAGGACATTGTCTGGGAGATCTCGAGACGAGTTGATGTTCTGGGACCTGTGTAGATCTGTTATACACTGAAGATACGGACAGAAAAAATGACTAAAAATGCAGAACATAACAATCGCTGATGATGGTGGCGAGAAGGTTAATGCTTTAAAACTTACAGAGCCAGGTCTTGGATCTGGGACTTTTCCTGTGTACTCCCTCCATTTTGAGTCCTGCACCTCCATGTACGGCCCTTCGAAAACCTTCTGCACATCTGAAAAGGCGTACTGGCAGATAGCAGACGCTTTGATATTCTTCCTGTAACACAATCCCCAACACCCCAAAGACATGTCCAGGGGACACACTCAGGATTAATGACTCAAAGCTGAAAAACGGCAGTTGCTGGATTGAATTTCAGAAGCATCACAGATCATCAGGCCTCAATGACAGGCAAAAGGTTAACTAGCTGACTCTTTATTCTATGAAAACTGCGGGTATTATGGTGGGTTTGTTCCTTTTCACATTGGCATGTGGGAGTGACGTCACTGACAGGTGTGTAATTTTACCCCTTTATCTCTTCCAGAGGGATGCGTTTTCAACACTAGCATACAGTGCAAAAATACCCTCTCCTTGTGAGTCATAAATAAAACAACCTATTTGTGGTTTTGGTCCAGCAGCTGTGAGAAAAAGAAGAAGAAAAAGACTTTGTCCAACAGTATGAGTGATTAGTTGATTAGTTGCAAACCAGGTAAACCTTAACCATGAGCCCTAAAGGTGAGATTAGTAATGGATGGAAAATGTCTTTGTCACATTCTTTAGGCCATTGTGTAGTCATCAGAGTCTTCAAAAGCATCAAAGTGAGGAAAATAAGAGCGAACTGAGACCAGAATGTGTCTTGAAACTACCAGGAAGTACACCTCAGGGGATTAGTCATTCTTACACATGTGAGTCTGATGCATAGTGATGACTACTACTCACACATGTGTTATAACAAAGAAAGACAGAAAGCAAAAAAGAAAGAAAGAAAGGCAATGTCTACACTAGCCCGGATAAATTTGAAAATGGCGTATACGTCTGAAAATGCTCCGCGTCCACACTATCGTTTTCATGTGTTTTCACAGAGTTGTGCGTCCACATTGAAACAGCCAAAAACCCTTACGTTCCAGTACTGCGCATGCGTATAGCAAAGATGATTCAACCTGCCTCATTTCTGTCTGTCGTTTATTTACTTTCCAGCTCTTCAAAACGTCGCATCAAAATTTTGAGGAAAAGCACCGAGTTTTTTAAATGGACTGACAATGAGGTGGAGTTGTTGCTGCGAGTAACACAAAAGTACAAAGTTGCAAAAGCGAGTGAGACTTAAAGAATTTGAAGAAAAGCTATCTGGAGCATGTACAAACTGATATTAATCTTTAATAGGGCTGTCCAAATTGAGAGCAAACAAAATAACTGCTGTATAATGCCCTCCGCTATCTTAGTTTAATTGGTCACATGACTAAAATGTGTCATCGTTTTCGAAAAGGCTCCGGGTTCGCTGTCTACACTGCGACGCGAAAACGGCGTTTTCAAATGTATCCACGTTGGAAAGCGTTTTCAAAAAGCTCAGTTTTCCTTGACCAAAAATGTCTCAGTGTGGACGGAAGGCCAAAATGAAGAGAAAAAGATGCGTTTTCAACGTATTAGAGTGGACATGGCCAAAAGAAAGAAATTAAAAGCAACAAAAGACAAAACAGAACGTAAGACAACAGAATGAACGCAACCGAAAAAGAAAAAAGTAAGAAAGCCAGAAACTAAATAGGACACCTAGAAAACTACAAACCACAAAAGATGGAAAGCTAGAGTAATCAAGACAGAGAGATAAAAAACTGGAAAGCAACAACCAAGAAACAAGAAAAAAAGAAAGAAAGCTGGCAACCAATGAAGAAAGAAACTATACATCAATCTTCTGTTTATCCTATTCAGGGTTGTCAGGCAGCTGGAACCTATTCCAGCTACCATAGGGCGAGAGGCAAGGTACACCCTGGTCAGGTCTCCAGTCTAGTCAGAGCTAATGCAGAGACACACACACCATTCACAACAACTAAGCTAACCCCACTAACTGCATGTCTTTGGACTGCAGGAGAAAGAAATAGACAAAAAGAAAGAACCCGGCCAGATGGGGGATTTGAATCCAGTACTTTTTTACATTAAGGCAACCACTGCGCCGGCCCAAAAGCCACCAAAAGACAAAAAAGAAAGGAAGTTAGCAATAAAGAAAAAACGAAAGAAAGTGATCAAAAGTGAAAAAAAGACAAAAGAAATGAAGGGCAAGAAAGAAGGAAAGAATGAACTCCAGTCCTGCAGTGAATGAGAGGACACACACTGATATCCACTAAACTACAGCAGTGGAAAAATGGAAAGAAGCAAGTGAGAAATACATAATAGATGTCTCATTGCAATGCTATCCTCACCATCAGAATCTAAACACCCCTGGGACAGTTTTATGCAGCATGACTCTGCATATCAGCATAAACACACACTCAGATCACATCACATTTTCCATTGGCAGTCGTCATCTTCACACACACACCCACGCACACACACATCAGCTCTCACCGCAGCTTGGCTTTCTGTTGATAAGAACTCACCTAGGATTTGAAATAATGACTTTTTTTTCTCATTATCAGTTAATCTGCCGATTACTTCTACGATCAATCATCTAATCTCAACGGTGTCAGAATGTAGAGAAAAGATCCAGAGCACCAAAAGATATCTTGAAATGGCTGGATTTGTCTGACAGCCAGTGTAAAATCCAACAATATTTAGTATGCGACGACATAACACAGAGAAAAGCAGCAAATACCCCAAACAGAGAAGCACAAACCACAAGCAGTTTTACTTAATTTAATGACTTGATTGAGTTGTGTTAAAGGATTATTGGTTGATTAGTTAATCTCTGAATTACATGTTTGGGGAAGAAACATCATTTTGTTCATCATCTGAATAAAATAGATCTCGTGGTCTCTCAAAAGAGGAATTAACATCACATTTACTTCCAGCTGAATATCACATTCTTGTTTCTCTGTTTTTTACATTTTGATGCAACATAATGCAATAAAGAAATAATTTTCCCCTTTTGGAGTAAAAGAACTTGGATGGTTTGCTCAGAGCTCTGACAACCTCATGCAAAATCTTTAGAATGAACGTAAACATCCCAAAGGTGCGAGTTAGACTTTATCCCACAACATGAGTCCTGGTCCTCACTAAATCGCTTGTGTCTGATTAGGAGATTGTCCCCTCGGCCAGGCTGCATTACCTCTTATAGCAGGGGTAGGCAACGCCAGGCCTGCAGGTTTTAGATCTCACCCTGGGTCAACACACCTGAATCAAATGATTAGTTCATTACCAGCCCCCTGGAGAACTTCAAGACATGTTGAGGAGGTAATTTAGCCATTTAAATCAGCTGTGTTGGATCAAGGACACATCTAAAACCTGCAGGACACCGGCACTCGAGGCCTGGAGTTGCCTACCCCTGTCTTATAGTAACAGAATAACGGTCACTATTGAGTGTAGTGTCCACATAGTTTTGGCCATCCAAGCACAGGCGGACACACTGGCGCAGTCCCAAGTTTTATACACTCACATCTGTTCACTTTCTGCTTCCAAATAGATTTTTTTTCCAGAGCTGAATGTTTAAATGAGTGTTTAAATTGTAAATTAGTGTGATACTCAGAGGCTGGCAGGTTATCCATTAAAACCTTTTTTAAATGTAAAACCTAAGTAGCTCAGAAACAACAAAATAAACAGAAAACAAAAAGGTTTGTATAATTAAGCCATCTGACAAAAGGAGAACCACTGAGCAAACAGTGCTTGCCTACAGATATATTCTGTTTTCACACCCTGCACATTCCACTTTAAAACTACTTGACTGAGTTCAGAGAGGAGAAATGCAGATAAGCATTCAGATTCATGGGATCCCCTCCTACACACACTGCACTGTATTCCATTACATTTAACCTTATTTTTAAGGGTTCAGCTCACTGGACTCGAGCTCCTGAAATCCTAAACAAAGGATGTTTAAATCTGACCATCTTATCCCACTGAGTGATTATTAAAAGCTTTAACTATGTGCATTATTGACCACATTTTAACAGTGATTTTTAAAACAGCTCAATTATAGTACCTCATTAAGCTAATACATATCAGTGACAGCCCCGCACACAAAACAAAACAGGCTGGGGAAACTATTTCTTGGTCAAGACTTTTGCTTGGTTTAAAAATACTGGAGAATTAAGTAAGTTCCTTCTCTCGACCATTGATTAGATATAATGACACAGTGACACCAAATATTAGAAAAGTTAAATATTCTGGCTATTGCCAGTTGTATACAAGATCTGGCAGAAAACTAAAGACAGTGACAGATGATCTTTTTTTTAGTTTACAGTAATGTTGGGACCATAATGCACCAATTAAATACCATGTTGCATAGAATAGGACTTGGAATTGGGCAGCTGAGACTGTAGACTTCTCACAAAACTGCTGAGGCCACACTAACAGCAAAGACTGGACATTTTCTCATAGACTTCTTAGAGAAGCTGCCCCTTGGTAACCATTAAAAAGTTTGCAGATTCATTTTTCGTTCTTCGTCACTTCACTTCTCAGAGATCCATCTATGGTTCAAAGCCATAAAATTGTTTGCTGCCCATATGCAATGGGCGCTGAGTGCTTTGAGTTTGGCTCTCAGTAGTTATTTTCAGGAAGTTGATGCTCTATACCAGGAGTGGGCAATCTCAGTCCACGAGGGCCGGTGTCCCTGCAGGTTTTAGATCTCACCTTGGGTCAACACACCTGAATCACATGATTAGTTCATTACCAGGCCTCTGGAGAACTTCAGGACATGTTGAGGAGCTAATTTAGCCATTTAAATCAGCTGTGTTGGTTCAAGGACACATCTAAAACCTGCAGGGACACCGGCCCTCGTGGACTGAGATTGCCCACCCCTGCTCTATACCAAGAAATATTCTGAAAATTGTTCTCAAAGTTTGGATCTTTGCGTGAATTCTACAAATGTTCTCAGATGTTTGGGTTTGTAAGTTGATATTTGATAATAACTTGAAGTTTTAATTTATAAATTACAAAAAATGTTTTGTTTTGTTTTTTGTAGAAACAAGCATACATACATGAATTAATGATCTCAATCACTAGTTTCTAGTTTGATCTAACACATCACAATATTCTTTCATGCAAAAAAAACAAACAAACTACATGTTTGTAGAGCATAAATGAGTCAAAATCAGCTCTTACCATTCCAGACCAAAGATACCATAAAAAATGCTGCTGCGAGCGTCTCGCTCCTGCAGGACGAACACGTCACGCAGGATATTGAGGTGCAGCTCATACTCTGGGACTGAGCACACCATTCTAGCCTTGAGGAACGAGGTCCACTTCCTCTGCAAAGTCCTCTGGCCTCCCCAGTCAGTCTGCAGAGAGAGGAGACAGAGGTGGAATTAATTGATGTAAAGATAAACAACACAATGATTTTAATGATGCGAGTGATGCACAAACAGTGCATTTATATAAGAAAAGATTAGATCCAATTGTATCGTAGAGATTATGCAGATATAATGAATATATAGGGAGGAGCTGAATGTTGGTATTCAAACTCAGTGTCCCTAGTGTAGCACATTTCTCTGATTGCATTTCAGAAGCAGTGGGAGGTAAGGCTGTAAGACATTTTTCTCCCTAAAAGAGTAATTTGGCACACCTCATTTAGATAAGATGAAAAAAGAGATGGATTCGATTTTTTCTTTGTTTGTCTGTATTAGAAGTTTTCATCTTTCTTTATTTGTGGCTTTAGGGGACATCTGTTGTTCATCAAAAGCCTCTGCCTGCATTGGCCTCCCACACAAGAAAGCCAAAGTAAATCAACATAAGATATACACTTAAAACCTTAGGAGCAGTTCTGTCAATAATACCAATTCAATTTATGGCACAAGACGAATGAAAGAAGAGACGAAAAGGACAGACAGATGAATCCAATCTTTAAATTTCATTCATTTGACAGAAGGAAATCTGTAGAGAGCAACAAATAAGCATTTCTTACAGAGATGATAGCAGGTTATTACTGTGGGAAGAGCTAAAGGGATGCAATGGCAGATTACAGTCTCTGTCAATCAACACACAGTCAGGGTCACTGGGCTGCCATGAGGTAAATTTAAGGCAGTAATAGTGAAGAATCCAAGCATAGAAGATATACCAGAGGGGGAATTAACCCTAGATGAGCCTGTGCTGCAGTTTATTCTCAAAATACAACTGAGGGAAAAAAAACAACAACTTAAAACTACAGCACCTGTCTCTTTACTGGAGATGTATAGCAAGAAAAATGTTAATAATGTCAAACTGGCACCTATTTCTGCTTTTTGCAACGGTCTTGTTTTCATGTCATCATGTCTCTTCTTTGTTAAAGTAGGGCATGACTGGCGAGGAAGTAGAAGCTGTCTGGCTGGGAAGTGAGAAGCAGAAGAGGACAACCGGTTAGGCAACTCAAAAATGGCAAGTCGTCAGTGGTTTCAGGCCAGGGGCTACTGCCAGAGCCGTCACTATCTGTGGATCTGCCATCAACCAGCGTGGTGCCTGGCCGCCATGGGGGCTGAGCTGGGGACCACTCGACATCTGCATGTGCTGCCGTGGCCTAGTTCAGACTGAGTTATTACACTCGACTGCTCTGACAACTCCACAGTGCTGGTGAAGGGAGAGGAAGAGCCCAGACCTTATTTCCAGAAATGACTACTTTCGAATGCAGTGAGAATGAAGACAAGACACAGTGAGTGTGTATATGGGTTTAAAAAGTAAGAGAGCAAGAAATGCTCAAAAATGAGCTGCCTGCATTTGTTTAATGAGCTTTTGGGACAAAAGCTTGCAGCAACACAGGGGTATTGGGGTATTTTACAACTTTATTATTCAATGCCAGTGGAAACAGGACAAAAAGAGAGAGAAATATCCTCAACAGAAGTCCTTGAGAATCATTTTAATGGAAATAAAATGATGTGTTTTTTCAGCAAAGCAGCAGAGACACTTAGGGAAAAGACCAACAGCAGACAGCGATGTGAAAATCAATACTGGGTGTTTAAACCTTTAGCAACCCGTTTTTCATACTAAAAGATCCAAAGCATAAGGCATTTTTTTCAATGAACTCTTACAGTGAAAATAGTGTCCAGACTATCTGTGTACTGTAATCTGTAATCATTCACTCACCCTCCATCCACCCATTTATCTCTATTTTTTTCAACCATTCATCTAACTTAGTAGTCAAAGGGGGCTGGAACTTTTCCCAGCTTTCATGGTGTGAGAGACAGCATACATCCTGGACGCTGTGATGCCAGTCCATCACAGGGCCAACACACAGAGACCCAGATCATTTATTACTCTATTAAGGGAATTGAATGTGGACTAGCCTATACGAAAAATGAATTAAAAAATTGGCACTTTTAAGCACTATTAGTCATTTTCTCTACACCATTAAATGTGCCATTGCTGTCACACAATTAAAACTTGACACATCAATGTCAAATAAATGCCATTTACCCTAAATGCATGTATGTTGCATCCCTGTTACTTATTCCCTAATCACTCTTCTGAGTCCAGTCTGCTAAGCACTCACCCCCCTTTGCAACTTGCCTGGGAACCATGAAGGAAGTTCAGCATAGCCATGCTTACTTTGTATTAGCAGGCTTGACAAATCCTAAAACCCCAGTCTGGGATAAGGGCTGTGACAATGGCAGTTATCAACATCCTGTGTTAAGCTGGGCTTTCTGCCTGGCTCTGTGCACGCTCACATAAAAAGGAGCGTTTCACACATCATATTGACTCTTCAGCACAACATGATCCCCATGAGTGACACCTACACCAATCAGATACATTATCAGATGAAACCGTTGATAATAAAATGGTGATAAATGTTTATAAAGAACACAAAGGAGCATAAAAGATGTAACAGTAAAATGCAATACTGATGGAAATAAGACAAAAGAATAACGCTGCTATTCCAGCAGTGCAAAACAGACTTAGCAGCAGAGTAGAGTCAAGTACGACAGTTTTTACTTAACTCATGATGTCAGTAATATATTGCTTAAAAACTTGCACATACATGACACATTCATGTTTTTGTTTGTTTTCTGTTCTGTGTCCTGTTCTTTTTGTATATGTGTGTTTTTTGCTGCTGATTCAACCAAATTTCCCCTTGTGGGACAATTAAAGGATTATTCTATTCTATTCTATTCTATTCTATTCTATTCTACTCTATTCATCCAGTAGAGAATCTATAGTAGGTTTAACAAATGTAATTTAAAAATTTACGAAAAACCTATTTTAAGCTGAAACTGACAATAGCCTCCTCCCGACCAGGTTATGCGTTCAGCACATGTTACCATGGCGATTTAGCCACATAAAAAGACAGCCAATTTTGTGACATAAAAAATTCTGACTTTATGCTCAACATAGCTTGCTCTGTAGTACACTCAAATATTCTTGTTTATCAAGCTTTCCAGAGTTCCTTATAGTTGTACTGTGCTCTATTGTGTGTTTCACTGGCTGCTTAATTCCTCTTTTGATTAAAAATTTGGATTCCCCTTAGAGCCATTACTTTGGCTTTTGGCTTCTTTGCATTCATGTCAGTGTCCACAATAACATCTTCCCAAGATAAGGTTAGAAACATTATTATAAAACTAACAGCTGCACAAGGTCAGAAAGACGTGTGGCACAGCTGCACCATAAATTCTTTTGTTATTAACAAACAGAACAATAAACTACTGCTGTATTTTATAATATCATCCTCCAGCGATTATTTACTGTATATTTTCCAGCATATTCCATACCACGCCTCTATAAACCTTTGCATCCTCAAGTACAGCTCTTCTGGCAAACCACTTCTTTCCTTCTGTCCTCTCTCCTCCTGTTGCATTTTAGGAATTGAAACTAAGATGACGTAGGACAGAGGAGACAAGGAAGCACAACTTAGAGAAAAAAAAGCTAAAGAGAAATAATAATGAAAGTATGAACATTAGTAAATGATATATTAAAAAAAGGAAACAAAGCTCTACAAATACATAACAGAAAATTCACACCATGTCAAAATCTTTGAAAAATTTCCTGCTCAGTAGGTTTTCCTGTTAGTGTTCTCTCATTCATTCAATTAAATCCTTTTCACAGGATCACAAAAAGTGAAACACAACTGCTTCATTTCACCAGCTGAGGCTTTGACTTACTCTTTTGATGCCTACAAAAGCACGCCGTGATGGTAATCATACCCCCATGAATGGCTAAAATAAATGACAAGCGGGAGGAAAAGGAGCAAGAGTAACCTCTAGGAATGGTTGCTGGGCATGCTGTCTAGACTGGGAATGCTGACAGCAAGTGAAATGAGGTGAGATGGGAAGTAGAGGAAGAAGAGCAGGAGAAGGCGGAGTTGAAGATGGGGATATGGCAATAAAGTAAGGGGGAGGGTTTGCCATTGGAGGTGGAGGTTTGTGGACTTGTACTTTGCCTGGCAACAGTGGCACAGAGAGAGAACCTCTGTCAGTGAAGAAACTGTGATTAGAGACGACCAACTGCTGGCTGATTTAGCATTGATATTACAGCGAGAGGAGCGTGGCAGCTCATTGAGAAACAAGAACGTCCTCTGAAATCCATTTACATTCATTCTGTGCAGCTGACAAAAACCATTCAATAATCCCACCATTTTTCACTTTGAATGATTGGTAACTTTTACCCTCCCTTGTTTCAACCCTTTCTTTCTGTGACCTTGCAGGCACTTATAAAGCCGTTTCAAACCCAGTGAAAGCAATAATGCGATTATAGATAGCAGTGTTTGGGTTAACTGGTCTTTCTGACCTTGCATACTCTGGCGACCCTGGACACCTTGGTCTGGCTCGGGTAGGCAATCTGCTCCTGGCTTCTCTCAGTGAAGAAGAAGTAAATCTTGTCATCGTCACCGATAGAGCTGTTGATGCTCTCCTTCAGCAGCACAGAGCCCACGAAATTTGCCTCTGTGCACACAAACACAAACACATCACACGCACACATCCACATGTCCAAAAAGAAACCTATTAGCAGCCTAGAAAGTGTCTCCTTGGAAACTAAAGATGGAGCCTTTAAGTATGATTGAACCACCACAACCAAGTCAGTTAGAGCTGCAATGCGGTGCATTTTTTTCCTTGTGATTTTTATTCTACAAGTGAATCTGTTGTTTTTTTTATGACAAAAAAACGTCTGATGTAATAAAAATGTGCAACATAGCAATGAGGTTTGGTCTATTAATATTCTACTGAAAGAGGAAATGCAACCCCACTACCCAAAACACAGGAATGCTGTATGAAATGCAGATAATAAATAAACAATTCGCAATTTAATTGCTTGTAAGGTGTCCTTGAGTGTCTTGAAAGGCAACTATAAATAAAATGTTTTATTGTTGTTACTGTTTATTTTATTTTTGAACACTAAAAGGAAGAAAAGTTATGCAATACTAAAAAAAACTAAATTAAAGCCACAACTGCGATTATACAACTGATTACATTCATTGCTAACTTGATGGGAGTTTTTTTAAAGCAGGAAAAGAGGCTGACTCATTCAGAATAGAAATGAGGAAGAAGTTTCGACTGTAATGTATGCGGCAAATAGTTTGATAGCTTAAAAATGATGTTTCTCAATATGAAACTGCAATGAATATTGGAATCAGTAAACTATAAAATATCAATAAAAGACTCAAAAAATAAAGTGAAATGTCTGAATATAGCTGAATATGCGGAAAACCAGTATCGGTCAGAAAAGTCTGTTGGACTCTGGGACAACAACATGAACATAAACTGCCACTGCATGCACAAATGCAAGTTCAAACTCTGCTATGCAAAGAAAAAAATATATCTACAAAAAAAATATCAAGATCTTGTTTGGGTGTGAGGTAGATGCTAGATATGTCACATTATCCATCACATCTATTCGTCTATTCTGTCCATCCAGAAAAAAAAAATTCTACACAAGAAGCAATACAATTACATTTGGTATGTTGCCTTTCTACTACTTTTAGTTAAATCCAATTTAAAACCCAATTGAAATATTTGGAAAAAGGACACCATCCTTTTTGAACTAGCGTCTTACATCAGCTGTTATGCACATACATATGAATGATCATATTTACCCAGAAGCCACCGGGTGGGCGCCTCCTCTGTCCTGAGTGTGGGGAATGGAAAGTTTCTGCGAATATCTGGAGAGCTGCGAAACTCGTACTGAGAGGCTGTGAACATCTCGCCATCTAATTAAAAGATTAAAAGCATGCATTGGTGGCAAATGGATTAACAAAGAAAGATATTGAGATATCAAAGTTTAATCACATGTAAATGAAAGCATTCAGTGGACGAGGAAGTGGGAACAGTGTGACCTATGACCTGTGTATTTGTAACAATAATTAGACAAAATTTAGTATGCTTAAACTGTCTAATAAAGACAGTGTTTGATTATCTATGCTACATCTAAAAGTGTGATCTAATCCAAAAATCAGGGTGCACTTTTGCACAGTTAACGCTTGCTGTAATCCTTAAAAATGTTCATAATGGTTGTCAAGCAATTATACATGAGGGAGCATTCACATTTCCAGCAAAACTAATTAAAGACTTCAGCAGTTTGAGTTGGTAAAAATCATGTAATTGTGACCTTGCTTGCATTTGAAGCAAATCCCACAAGTTCTCCTTGCCCTTCTGGGTCCACTGTAATTTGATGAGTCTTCACAGACCCTTAGTATGATGACGGTAGAGGTTTTAAAAACACTGCTGGGCCTAATTATAACCTCACAGCAGCACAGTTCTAACAAAGTATTTGAAAATGGATTTGAGTTTCATTCAAAACTATGACATCAGCATGATAAACAATATAAAATATTTTCCATAACCTTTCTTATGGATTTTAAAGTGCAGAATCAGGTGACAGACTGTGAAAGAGGACCCAAAGGCAGGATACAGGAAATTACTGTGAAAGTCCAGATTCCAAAGCTTTAATCCAAAAAGTCAAGGTCATTTGCTGATGTGTTGATGAGACAGCAAAGCAAATCATTCTGGCAAAGGGCAAGCAAAATGTCAAATCCGAAACTACTTCAAAAAGTCATAAATGGAAATGAATACGAGGACAGCAACAGGATTATGAGGCAAAAAATCACAAAAAAGACTGGAGGCACAGAGAACTGCTGGAAGGAAACTGCATTCATTCTTAGATTTTAGAGTTCTACTAAGTATTCAAGTTAAATAAAAAATTATGTAATATGCTGTGTATATGCATAGCAGCAACATGCTGTTACAGAGGTTTGCATTGTCCTCTCACAGCAAAATGGTTCTGGGCTTGAACCTCTGTTCTCCCTCCAGCTGGTGATTTTTTTTTCTGTGTCCAAACACTTCCAAGTTAAGTTGAGGTGATTCTCAGGTGTCCACAAGTGCAGATGGAGACAGATAAACCAATGTATAAACCAATTTAGTGCGGAGCCAGGACACCAATGGATGGGTGAGGATGGGAAATCAATATTTCATTGATTTAATTGTAAATTCCACAGATGAGCAGCAGATTAAAACTCAGAACATCCTTCCAAACATGTGCTAACCTCCGCACCACTATGCCACCATAATGTCTGAGAACAGTAAACCTTTACTGCCCAGAGGCCTTTACAAATAAGATCCCCAAGGACAAACATAATGCAGGATGGTTTGTCGAATAAAATCAATTACATTTGGACTTACCTACGATGAGGCCGGTGAATCCCTTTGCTGGGTCATACGGACACCTGTCTCTGCCTTCCTCAAAACCTGAAGAGAAGCTGAAACGCTCTGCATCCTTGTAAAAAAAAAAAAAGAAAGATTGACAACACATAATAAGTTGTTTCATTTCAATTCTTGTCACAATTTTCCTTGACATGAAAAACCCAGGATCTCTTACGATATAAGCACAGAGCGGTCTGAAGGCGTTCGTTCCACAGACGTACAGGTGAGTCTCATTGTATCGCTGCAGAAAGCGGATGTGGTTGTAACACTCTGTCTGCAGAGAACACAGTAAAAAGAAGTGATTCGTTTTTTGTTGTGTATCTGCTTGTTTTTCTCAGCGGCAATACATAATAATCAGTCAGTCAATTTGTTTCCCGGGTGTTAAAAACAATAAAACATAAAAGAATAACCTTTCAAAGATAGGGAGGGAAAGCTTTAGAGAGCAGAGAAGGAAGCATGCAAAATAAATCAAATACAATACAGATGACATTAATGCTATTAGACAGCACAGGCAGTTCAAAAGGAAGTTACATAAACTCTCAGTACATTATTGATAACAAAGAAAAAGCCATAAAGGAGGCAAACTGACAAAACTGGAAAAAAAGAAAGGCAAATATGCACTAGCTAAGCATGATGACAAGTCTGGTTGGTTTTTTAACAAATTTTAAGGAAGTGGTAAGAGTCACTCAGTAATATATTTAATGGTAATAGGTTCCAGAAACGGGAAGCTCTTATTTTGAAGGTTTATGGGGAAGTTTTCTTTCATTAGATACAGATGATCCCTGCCACTGGTCATCATGAGAATCTATTGGCAACTTTTTTTTTTTTTTAAATGTGACTGTTTTAAATGGAGTAGGTGCTAACCTGTCTATATTCAATAAAATTCACCCGCTAAGGCAGCCCAAACTGGAAAGCACACAGGTTCACCTTGCTAGTACCAGTTTGGATCCCATTTCCCCCCCAGAACTGTCTTAATCCTTTGTGGCACAGATTCAACAAAGTTCTGGACACATTTCTGTGAGATTTTGGTCCATACTGACGAGATAGCATCACACAGCCACTGCAGATTTTTTGCTGCACATCCATGATGTGAATCTCCAGTTCCACCACATCCCAAATGTGCTCTATTGGATTGAGACTGTTTCGGCCAGTTTGAGCACACTGAACTCATCGTCCTGTTCAAGAAACCAGTATGAGATAATTAGAGCTTTGCCATTTCATGGCTGGATGCAATCATCAGAAGGTGGATATCCTGTGGTCATAAAGGGATGGACATGGTCAGCAACAATAGTCAGATACGCTCTGGCATTTAAACAATGGCTGATGAGTCACGATTTCTGCTTCGACGTTCAAACGTAGCTCTTCAGACCAAGTAACATTGTTCCAATCTTCTATTCTGAATTCTAGCCTCAGTTTCCTGTTCTTAGTTGACAGGAATGGGACCCGCTGTGGTCTTCTGATCCTCTCCTGCATACCTTGTTTGTAACAAGCTGTTATTTCTTCTCAGCTTTAGGCAGTTTGGCCATTCTCCTCTGACCTTTGACATCAACAAGGCATTTTCACCCAGAGAACCACCACTCCATTTCTCTTTATCACACTATTCTTTGAGACAGTTTTGCCCCCCCAAAAAATCCCAGTCAATCAGAAGTTTAAGACCTTTCTAGCGACATGTTTTGTGTTTGCTCTACAACAAATAAAAGATGGAGAAAACCTCTACTTAATGTATATGGCCTAATTTATAACAATAATGAATGAATGAATGAATGAGTGCCATTTATTTTAAATCCTCAACCTCCAGTTTAGTGTCTCAGGGTTTCAGGGAAACTAAATTACAAAACAACTGGAAGGATTGAATGTTTCATTGCTGTCAGAAGCATCACAAAACGGAGCAGTTGCACTTGTGCTCTCCAATATTAACCTAATAAATAAAGATGGGAGATTTTTCCGAGAAGAAAACAAAGCTGCAGCCTTTTACCTGATTGTCTCTGCCTTTGTTTAGGCACTGCTTCTTCTGTTCAGGGGAAGCATCCCAATCAATCTGCAAACAATGGGAGGGTAATAAGGATGACTCTGTAAGCTAAATAAATAAAGAGAGGCAAACAGATAAATAAAAAGCCCTATAGATAGAAAAGAAAGTACGAGATAGAGAGAAGAAAGTATGTGTGTGTATGTGTGTGATAAACAGGGGGAGGAAAAGAGAAGGACAGCAGACTTAATTTTCTGGCTGCGTCACAAAGTTCTGACTCACTTCAGTAACCCTTGAATAAATGCCTGGTGCATTTAATCCGATAGCCATAAAATTGGTGGAACACAATGGGATTTGCTCAATCTGCTTAAGGCTATTATTAGTTTCTCCTCCTTCGAACGGGAGAAAAACTCGTGAAATGGGCTTTACCGTTTCTGTCTTAACATCAGCAATTATGTGTTTCTCAGCATCTTGGTACTCACTGTGAGGTTTGCAGGTGTGGAGATGCTGGATGTGTTGAGAACGTAGAGTGCTCCTCTGCCTCCCACATACAGCAGCCTGGCCTCCTCCTCCAACAGCAGGGTGCTGTAGTTTTGGGTAGAGCCGATGAAACGGGTGCTGCCCAGCAGACCTGCAAATATATGACACGAGACATGTGAAGGTTTCTTTGTGTAAAGACCAAGACTAACTTGTCTTATTGTGTCAGGGAAGCAATATCTTATATCTGGGTGTAACTGACAATGATGCATATCGTCAGAATTTTTTGATTAAAAAAAAAACGACAGATTTGTTCTGGTTATTTAAACTATAAATAGAGTCTCCTTTGAATTTCCAAATTACGTCACTATCTTGTAAGCTAGAGCAGTTTTATACGTTGAACAATTGGCAAACTCCAAGGCTAAAAAAAAAAGAGCAAGCGCCAACACTTGCAGTTCCTCTAATGGCCACATGAGGCTGGTTCCAACTGTATAGGGTGTTGATTTTTTTTTTTTTTGTTATATCTCACCTGTTTCAACTTTTTTAAGGCTGACATTTAGTGGTGTGACTATTTTGATTGACAAGTGTGCTCACATAGAAAGCTGTAGCTGGCTGCCTGCGAGGCATCGCCTCCACTAATTCCACTTGCCAAACTGGACCTCTCAAACATGTATGCACAGTGGTGCCATTTTGGATTTTAAAGGAATTCTCTGACTAAATGAATGGCTCTCTGTGTGGTACAGCCTGTACAAGACGTCTGTGAACCAGCTGTAGTGATTAAAATTGTTATTATATCCTATGCAAGCATTGTGTTATTAGCTGATAATAGCTAATGCTATTAGCTAATATGTGCTCCTTTAGCTCTTCTGAGCCATTTGATTTGGCGTTTCAGCACTCTGCCTACATATAGTTAGCTTCACCCATACTTTTGTTTTAAAGGTTTTCTGCCAGAAAGACTTTGTAAAACATTGTTAACATAGTTGAAGTTTTATTTTTAACCCAAACCTAACCTTTTAATAAAGATCAATATGTGGTTTGTTGCCTAAACCTAGCCAAACTGTGACGTATACATGGTACGGTTGTATCAGGAAGGGCAACTGGCATAAAATCCTTTCCAAATCAAACGTGCGGATTATCAAGAATAAAATTTCCACACCCAATCATTCAGGTCTTGGGTTAACAAAGACCACCTCTGGTGCTTTTGCCCAACAGGGTTCCAGTGGAAACAAAAGTTTAATGCAGGAGTGTGGAGGTCAAAGTCTGGACTGTAAATGTACAGAATATGATTGGTAAAAGGAGAGAGCTAGCTGATGTGATGGTGAGAAGGAAGGTAGATATATCTTGAGACCAGATGGCAGGGAAGTGATGCCAGGAGTATTGGAGGTGGATTTAAAATGTTCTACCATGGTGTAGATAGGAGGAGAAATGGAGTAGGAATAATCTTCAAGGAAGAGTATGCAAACAGTGTTGTGAAATTGAAGAGAGTATCAGAATTGTGAGTTTAAAGATAGAAATCAAAGGGGTAATATTGAGTGTTATCAGTACGTGTGCTCCATAAGTTGGATGATGTTGGATTTATTAAACAAGGAATGATTAATATGGAGCTGCCAGGTAGCAGCAGAAGAGGAAGATCACAGAAAAAAGCATGAATGTAATGAAGGATGGCATTCAAAAGGTTGGTGGGATGGAGGAGGATTGCTAGGGTTGGATGGAGGCAGGTGATCCATTGTGGCAACCCTTAAAATGACCAGCTGTAAGAAGAAAAATTGGCTTTAAAAAAAACACAAGATCACAGCTTCATATCTCTGCTTACAAAGCACAAGAATAGCTTGACTTTACACTGACTGGAAAATGAATGGAGTCTACACACCCCAAATGAACATCCTCAGTGTGTGTGACTGAGCGTGTGAGGGTGAGACCCAACTACAGATCTGGGAGACGGGGAGGGAGTCGCTGGAGTGATTGCTAAGAGAACTATAGAGACAGAACGTAGGGATGGGGGCACAGGGGAGGCAAAATTTTAGGGCATTCAGCAGGAATCGTGCCCCAGTACTGCCAAATCGCATCAGCGGTAATGCCATAGCATCAACATCATCCCTGCTGTGTGTGTGTGAACGAGTGTGATGTGTGAGAGATTTCTACAGTAAGTGGGCTAAATTACTGTCACTGAAGTCCATGAAAAGTACATGTTAACAAGGTAAACATGGCGGATGGCTTTTTGGCTTTTGATCTTCTGTCACTGGAGCAGACAGAGAGGTTGAAAAATAATTGGCCTGGTGCACTAAACTAAATATTTGAACGCACCCCAATGTAGCACCTCAGAAATTAGGGCAGGTTGCGTCGCTGCTGTGAGACAACGAAAAGGAGGACATTGGAGTTTTTTTCTTCCTGTGGGCATGAAAGATCTCCTTCAGTGCAGAAGTAGGTTTACAGAGCTTTGGTTTGCTCTAAAAGTGAGTGATAAATGTCTGATTAAGAAAATCTGACATTAAGAAAAATAAAAACCCTGCATGCGGAAAGAACAGCTGTCTTCAGAGAACAACAGAAGAGATGAAGGTATCAACAGTGTTGCACTGAGGAATATGAGTCAGCACAGTGCAGATGGGCACATTAATCTCCACACACCCTCTCTGCCTCCCTCTCCTTCATCTCGTTCTGTTGTGAAATAACAGCAACATGTCTTAGCTCCCGGTAAAAAGATAAGCTATATTAGTCCTCAACCAATCAATTAAGCACAATGTGAGGACCTGCACGCTTGTTGCGGTTAATTCATTCTGATGTTCATAGGGCCTTTAAAGAAACGGAAATGGTTCATTGCTGCTGAGGGAGGCCATGGGATCACAGAGTAACTGCGAAAAGTATATAGATGATTAGCAGGCAATGGAAGCTTAAGTATTATATTATCATATATGCTTTATGGTTCATAAATGTTATATATTCAAGTAGATCAGGGTCAGTTTCAATTCATAGTCACTTCAACATCAAATTAGGTTAATATGATGCAATTATACATCATAAAATGCCTGACTGTGATAAATTGTCAAATCATGTCATTTAAATCAACAAGAATTGATTGAATATGAGTGTATAACTAAAAAGGATATACATTGCATCATTATTTTCAGAGGCTGAAAGATAATCCCTTTAATGTTATAGCTTTGAACACAAAACAGAGTGCCGGCATGTAACATTTTACAGATTTCCATGATAAAATGCCCAACTTAAAATGTAGGAAAAACAAACCTGTTTACAGCCTGCTACAAATAAAGTATTTTTTGTAGTAGTATTGTAGTAGTAATCTCTCTATTCATGACAACTCTGCAGGATTTGCAGCTTAAGGACCCAAATGTAAATTCAGAGTAACTATCATCAGAGTAAAGAAAAACCACAGTTTTTAAAGAGGTATACTACAAACTAAGTTCAACATAGCCAGCTTTTTTGCATTGGCTGGCTTGACAAAACCCTAAAACCCCATTTGAGATGACTGGTATCACTGTTGCCTCACAACAAGAAGTGCTGAGTTCAGTTTCACCATCAGGCCAGGGTCTTTCTCTGTGGAGTTTGAATGTTCTCCCCATGTTTGCATGGCTTCTCTCTGGGTACTCCGGCTTCCTCCCACAGTCCAAAGATATGCAGTTAGTGAGGTTAGGTTAACTGGTAACTCTAAATTGCCCATAGGTGTGAATGTGAGTGTGAATGGTTGCCTGTCTCTATGTCTTAGCCATGTGACAGACTGGCGACCTGTCCAGGGTGTACCCTGCCTCTCACGCTAAGACAACTGGGATAGGCTCCAGCTCCCCCGTGACCAAATGGAGCTATGATCCATCAAGCAGGGCCTTCTGCTAAAGACTCAGTGAGCTCTCAATGCTACTGTTAATTTCTTAGATGATTAGATCAGATTAAGGCTCTGAAATTTAGTTCTGCAAGTCTCCTTTATTAGAGAGTAACGTTTAATGTCTGACTGTATCCAAGTTAAAGACTAGACTTTAAATTGGATACACTTAAACATTAAATGTTACTGTCCAGTAAAAGAGACTTTGAAATCGATTTATTTTGTCAGCAGATCAAAGTGAAATTAATTTTATTGATTGAACAGGTGTTTGTCTTGGTGTGTGCTCTGTGTTTAAGCAGCTGCAGCTGCAGCAGTGTAAAAGAGACTTAGCAGCAGATCAGGTTTATTAACATTTCTGCGTCACTAGATTAATACAGTCCCATTTCCATGACAGTGCAATCCACAGTTTGTTCTTCATTCAGTGGTTTTAGTTAGGTACAGCTTAAAACTTGTAAAACATATTTGCCCAGAAGACAACGTGAAAACAATTAAGTCAAACCAAACACAAGACAGAAGATGGAAACGGTTCACTGCTGCTGAGGAAGGCCATAGGACAAGAAAGAAGCTATCAAAGCTATCAAAATACAACAGGAAATCACAGAGTAACAATCTGTTGTATAAAGTAGAGTAGAGAAATGATTTATATGAATCAGTACATTTACACATGGGGAAAAAATTACTAAAGAAAATGCACGACTCTAAAAGTGAATTACACATGCATTTTGCTAGCCAAGCAGGCTAGCCATCACAAGTCAATCCACATAAATGTTCCTGTATTTGTTAATGGAAAATCTACCTATGTAAGCAGTTTTTAAGCTGTTAATAAACATATCAGTGAGATCCTACAGGTACAAACAGTCTGAGACAAAAGTTTTTGTTGACGGCTAGGTTCAACTTTGTCAAGAACTCAAGAACTGTCAGAGCAGTTAAAAAAACCTGTCCCAGCTGAAACTGGAGTCCATGTTTATGCATGACATAAACACATATACTCTCCCAGGCTGTGACTCATCTCCACTGTATCACACTACAGTATTAGTAATGCTTTTACTTCCCTAATTTACAATAACCATGATGATAATGAGGATGACAGCGAGTTTTCCAGCGTGTTTGATCTTGCATAATACAACATGATGAAAACTGGTTTGAGTTTCCCAAGCATCACAAGGAAGGCGGTTTCTTCCCCACACAACTGTCTGCTTGCCTAACCATCACATGGACACACTGGGCCATGACAGCAGCTCTGCAGGAACCTATCGACTTCCTAGAAAACCAGAGACTGAATCAGACAGCAGCTTCTCTTTCTGCACAACCTTCCTTCTTATCAGCCTTTTTCTTCTTTTTTTTAACTGACAGTCAGACAACCACAGGGATGCTCTTACTGGTCAATAATTAGGTTATTATCATACCAGCTCTGTTATGGCTGTCAGGCTGATTATACGC